CTCAGACCAGGCCTCCAGTCGTCTCTAACTTACCTGTGGCTACCTGATCCTTCAAACCTCAGAGGCTACCCTTGGCCCAGAGCATCCAGATCAAACTGGAGTGTGGCCTCAGAGCTCCCAACCCCTGGGCCCAGGCCTGGCCTCTCTCCCTATTAGCACCCGCCCCTTGCTCACGCCCCCTCCAGAGTGCCTGCCCTGGGCTCTCCACCAGCATAGTTAGGCCCATAGTTCCCTGGGCACTCCCACCTGGCTCAACTCCAAATGCCCCCCTCTGCCTCAAATTCCTGGAAAACCAGGCATCACTGTCTTCAGGAAGTTGACCCCGACCCTGATAGGCCTCAGGAATGTGTCCATCAGCCCTGTGCCAGGATTCACACCAACCCCGCCGTGGGGCAGACACCAAGTCATCACCACCACTGTTGAGCACCCAGTAGGGGCTGGCGTGAACCAGCGAGCCCGCCCGCAGCGAGCCCGCCCACAGAGCAGCCATCTTAGCCTTTTTGATGTCCGGAGGGAGACAGAGGGAGAAGGAGTCAGACTGCAGGTTGGCTGCGCTGGGCCTCGAGCCCAGGAGAGTTCTTGCCTCCCCCCTCCTTCCCCGCCTCCCCCTGGACTCCTTGCTGCTGCAGCCAGCCCCCCCCCCCCGCCACCCCACCCCTGCACCCCTCCCTGGCCTCCCAGAAGCATCTGCTCTGGAGACCTGGAGGCTTGCAGGGCAGACACAGTCCCAGCCCCGGCAGCTCTGCTCACGAGCCATGCTGCCTCAGACAAGTAACAGGAAGCGTCCTCGGACTTGGGGGGGATTTTGAGTTTTGAAAAATAAACACCTGGGCAGCCCTCTCCTGACCTGCCCGCTGCTCCCCTCAGCAGTGTACTTCATCCATCTGCCTGTTCTGCTCCCCGCTCTGTCTCTGGTGAAGCCTCTCACCGCCCCTGCACCTCTGGCCTGTACCCCAGTTCCATATGCAGAAATAAATATATCTTTAAATAAACAAATACCTCAAGCTCAAATCGGGGAGAAAAATCTAGACCATCGGAGTACGTGAGGACGTTTCTGTGGGCATGTCAGCCTCCCTCTGCCTCCCCGCCCGCCTTGCTAACCTGGTCCCGGGTGCTTTGGGGGCTAACCTCCTGGCTAGAGGTACAGCCACAGCCCAAGCCACTGGGGCTCACAGCCCCTCGAGCTGGGCCCTCTCATCTCAAGGCTGCACCCCAGGGCCTCCTGCCAGGTGTTCATCAGCATCTTCTAGAACTGATAAAGCTCTCTGGCTGCTCAAGCAGGGGCCCCAGAGCTTAGCCCTGTCATATATCTCTCAGGCCAAGTAAAGTGGACCATATGCTCTGGATTACAAAGCTAAGCCTCGTCCCTCCTGGCCGAGGTTCGCCTTTCTTCTTCAGCCTACACGCAGCTGGATTCCTTGTGTGCTTAGAATAAAAACGGCAGAGCAGGGGTCTCGGTGTCCCACCGCAATCAGGGCGGCGTCGCGTGCTTTGGAGAGCTGGTGGCCACGGGGATTAGGGGTTCTGACACCAGAGCAGAGAGCTGCAGAGGACTGCAGTCCCTGCCAGGGGCCCCGCTTATGTAACGCACCCCCATCTGTTGCCAGAATTGACTGGGGCCACAAGCACAAACAAATGCAGCCGCAGGTTGGTTTGATTTAATAGTCTCCAGAGACTGCTATTACTGTGTGTTTGGGAGGAGACAAAGTGAGCGTTTATAGGAAAAACAGCTTGGCAGTGTAGTCGTGGCTTGTGAGACAGTGTTTTGTAGATGAGGACCCAAGGAGGGAAAGTTAGATGCAGGAAGCTAGCCAGCCACGGCTTGCTTAGAACATCAGAGAAGAAGGCACAGGAAAAGGGGGGTCTCTTTTATTAGAAAATATGCTGCCTGCTAAATCCTCAGGCTCGCGTTTATGGGCTCCCTCCCCCTCCCTCGTTAGGTGATGCAGCAAGTGTGAGCCCGCTCCAAGGAGGGACTGCAGGGGAAAGTCAGGACGTGGAGGCTGGAATCTGTCCACGCAGCCACGCAGAAGGCAGCACACAGATGTCTGTGCTTGTCACAGCTGCCGATGTCTGAGCGGGCCGCGCGCATCAGGCAGGCGTGGGGCGCCCAGTGGGCCCTCCGTAAAGATGCGTGAACAAGTACTGGGACACATGAGTCATCTCAATAAACCCCCTAACAGCCCTACAAGGTGGGTATTGTAGATGAAGAAGCTGGGGCTCAGAATGAGGAGCTTCTATGGGGCAGAGGGGCTGTCTTGCCAACTCTACCTGTTCCGAAAAGGATCTGGAACCTTCTCTGGCTCGTCAAGGAAAGGACATCTAAGATTGATCAGCAATGCCTGCCTTGGGTTCAAGAGGAGAGTGTGATAATATGTCACCTTTTTTGATGTTTCCCAGATTAAATGACTTGCCTGGCTGTCAAGTTGGAAGGGCCAAAGCCAGGGAGGGGGTGTGGCGTGTGTTGGTTCCTCTCTGGGATTCCTCAGCATGACTTCACCTGAAGGGCCACATCTCTGGGGGGAAGGTAGGCGAGAAAGGAAGGTCTCCCTTCAATGATGTGTAATAACCCATCCAAAAAGTGGGCTTCCGGCCTGCCCACAGTCCATCTGGGCTCCTTCATCACATCATGTTAGTCATCTGCTACCTGGTACCCCCTCCAGTGAAAACGGCTCACCATCATCACCTTCACCCACACATCACAGGCAGATGCCACCCCCAGCCAGGTCACCTCTGTGAGCAAGGCAAGACGGACACCGGGCTGCATTTCATGCCAGGAAATGGTGCTCACTGGTGGTTTCTGCCTGAATGGACGAATGTTAGATGTCCCCCGTGGTGTGACTCGGTGACAGGTCCTCCAGGTCTTGGCCAGCCCAGCCAGAAACTCTGGCAGCGGCTCACCTGCCCACCAGCCCTGGCCAGAGCAGCCACCAGGGCCACAGCTGGCTCTTGAGAACTTGAAACATGCCTCATACAACAGAGGCTGCATTTTATTTCAGTCATGAGTAGATTTATCGTTTTTTTCCTTTGCATCGAGTAGCATCAATTGATAACACCCTGCAGGTTCCAGAAATAAATCTTCTCCCTGCCGGCCACTGCACCTAATGTCCAGTCATCGCCCCCACCAACCCACTGCCCTCTGC